CGGAAAAACTATTCTGCTCCCACTCGGGCATAAGTCCTTATTCCGGAACACTGTTCCGGAAAAGGGCCAGTGTAGACAGCCCAGTAGTCTTTTCCGAAAAAAAGCCCCGATCGCGAAAATGGTGATCGGGGCTCTTTTCCGGAAAAGTGCGTCTACATTGGCCAAAGACGCTTTTCCAGAAAAAGGGCTTTTCCGGAAAAGCAGCCTGCCAATGTAGACGCTCCTTTTCCAGAAAAACTGAAAACGGAATAGTGTTCCGTTTTAAGCAGTTCCGGAAATTCATGCTAGTGTAGACACAGCCATAGAGAACTAGGATTATGGAACCTTATGCTTCAGTCCTGAGATCAGGAAGAAGAGTACTTTGTTGGTTCTCCAATATGGATTGATGGGGTTTACACCTTTCTCTGAAGTATTAGCCATTATCAGAGAGAGGATATAGAGCTAGACCTACTACTAATTTCTTCTAATTTGATAGTTCCTATAATTATTTTTAATATAAATGTTTGGGGGTTTTTTCTTGAGACTATTCATACAGTTTTGATAGCTGTATTGGGAAACACATTTCAAGCAATACTGGAAGATATTTCAGTAATTTTGGTATGTCACTAACTTGGAATCAGAATGCCTATAACTAGTTATGAGGACTGTATTGGAAAATTTTGAAATTGGTTCTGCTATAATTAGAGGTTCTCTTTGATGTTTTCCTTGAGACCTATAACTTTCCCCCCATAGTCATGTCTTTTTTTTTTTAGTATAGGTGCCTCCTTTAGTGCAGAAAACTGATTCAGATCCTGAACACTGCCGTGTTGCAGCACAGCTTGATGACAATGTAAGTCTGACTTTTAGTTCAGATTGGTTTAGCTGCTTTGAATTAAGTACCAATGTGAGTTTTGTTTCATATTTGTATTATTTGCTTACTTTATGCTATACTATATATTGGCATCAGAAATTAAACCAAAGGGGAAAATTGGAAATAGTACCTTAAAGTAAAAAAATTCTGAAATAAAATTTATGTATTTCATTCTAAAACTTTTAGAAGCTGTTTTTATACTAAATGGCTTGCATGGTAGTGTAGTAAATGTTATCCACCTACTAATACTTCTGTGACTATCCTCAAATATAGAATAGGGTTGCAAAGTTAATAGTACTCAGTTAGATCTGCTTCTGAGATCTTGAAAACTAGCAGTCATCACCAATATTGGTGATCAGAGAATTGTTTGGAAGAATTAAAAAAAAATTCCTATGCCATATGTGGACCATGAAGTACATAAAGGAAGAAATATTAGAAATGTGATAGTGAAGTTTAAAATGTTAAGCTCTTGATGGTCTCATAAGCTATGGTATTTTCCCAGTGTTCTGATTGATACACTGGTCATATGTGTGAAACACAGTTGAAAAAAATATTCTATCTGTAACTAGGACTGAAGGCCCATAAGATTACTAGTGATTATATGCTGATTTGTCATGGTCATAAATCTGCACCTGTTCCACACTTCACGTATTTATTTGTCACATCAAAGCATTCCAGTTTATCTTCCTGTTCATAAATGCTACCAGGGATCTGGTAAATGCCTTTTTGCTCAAGTAACACAGGCTTCAATTCTTTTGTTTTGCTGTGATTTCATCTAATGTAATTGTTTATCAGTAGATTGTTTAATTTTGAAATGTTTATTCTAAGACATTGTCCTCTTCCAAAACAAATAAATATAGAAAGTACACTAAATGGTACAAGAGTTCGAACTAAAGTACTTCCCTATTTTACAGTTCAACTTTTCAGGAAAAAAAAATTGTATCTACTTAGTCTTAAAAGTTCATTTTGAAAGTAGTGTTTGGACGTTTGACTTTTGCACCATATTTCAGGATATATTACATTTAGCACTTTTCCTGACCCTCACAAAATGCCAGGAAGTTAATAATTAAACCTTTAGATAATACAGTTTTACTACATTTCTCTTTTAGCATTGTGTAGAATCAGTGGTATAAGGAGGATTTAGTTGGCCTGTATCTCACTAACAGAATTGTGAACTAAGGCCAAGATTTTCAAAAAGAGATCCTTAAAATGTACGCTTCAAAATCTATATTTAAGATACCAAATATGTGGCCAGATTAAGAGCACATAGCTTTAATAATTTGTGCTGAACCTTGAGCACCTTTGAAAAACTAGCTATGTACTTAAGTATATAGGATTTAGATTTAGGCTGGGATTTTCAAGGAATCCTTATGGAGTTAGGTGCTCAAATCCCATTGACTTTCCATGGGAATTGGGCAGCAAATCCTTTGAGCTCCATCCAAGTATAGGAAACAATCTTTCAAATTTTGGTTTATTTCCAATTGCATATGGGAATTCTGTTCTCAACTGTAGTTGTGCAACTCCATTGTTGGCAAATTCTGCATTCCGAAACATCTTTACTATCCTATGGAATATAATGGAGTTACACTGATGTACCTAAGAAAACAGTTTGTCTTTGCAGTTAGTTCATAACTTTCTATTGTCTCTACAGCTGACTTTTACATTATTAAACTATAGTAATGTTAGGATAACAGTTAAGAGAACAGATGCCATTGTAGTCACTTTTCAGAGGAATGCCATACTGTTAGATATTTTTTTGCCTGAAGCAAAGTGAATTTGCTCTTTACAACTGAGATTTACAGAGGGCTCAGTGAGGTTTCTTATGTCCCATGAGAGTACAGGTTTATTAAAATAATATTAATACCAAGAAACTCATTTAATAGTTTATTCAGTTATTATTTTTAATATTCACTGATTCATAGTCTAGTATATGTTGACTTGATATGTTGAAGTGGCTACTCTAGATAAGTTACTATCTTGCATCTAAATGTATATGATAAAAATGAGGTTATTTGCCTAACAATGTCAGTTAATCTGTAAATTTGTATTTTGAAACATGAAACATACAATGTATAAATAATAGACCCAACTGTTCACCTATAAAGAGACATCTAAGACTTTTCAGATTTTGACATGGTCCGATAGCATAGTTATGTAAAATGTGAAGATAAAAATTGAAAGCATAATGTATTTTAAAAATCAATATAAATATTGACAGTTATTGCATTTGCACAAGAGTTTACGTTAATTATCTATTTGGAGCTATCAATTTTTTTGCAATATCTCTGAAAATATAGGTTCACGTATATCAGCCTGTTACTTTTAAAAATCAAAAGCAAGTTTTTACTACGGAATCACAGTGAAGCATTTGAAAACAGAACTTTCTATCTCCCTACCACTGCTATGTTTAAAAATGCTGGTTCTATGGAATTCTCTGACACAGCTTATTTCTGCATCAGGCTCAGTTGGAACTCAAAGAATAAAAGTTTGGGTTCTATAGCAATGGAAGAGTGGTCTGCAGTTGGGCACCTTCCTTTCAGAACCACTGTTGCTACTGGGCATTCAAAAGATAGGGTGTCCAGAAGAGAGCTATGCCTTGAGTTTGCCATCAGCTCTATTCTTGAAAGCACTGTTGCTATCTGAAGAAGAAAAGAAAAATAAACCCCTGTAAGTAATAGTGCTGATAACTTCTGTATCTGGTTCTGAACTCTACAATCCTGGCCTCAATAATGCAGCAGATTCCATTTTAGGACTTATTTAAAAAAATACTTAAAACTAGTTTAATTTCAAAATAAAAATCATGAATGATTCCATCCTGTGAAGAGAGATTTCAGACAACAGCAAAGTCTTTTAACTATTGATTTCTTTCAGAAAGACAATGTGATGCAGTAGCCGGAGCAGTAAGATGCTTAACTTTTGACAATTGTAGTAGATGATGTCTTAATTACGTGAGTTGAAATATAGGTTTTCTGTTTATACTTGGCTTTTAATCCATGTATCTAGGTGGATGACAATATTCCTCTTAGAATAATGCTGCTCCTTATGGATGAAATCTTTGATTTAAAAGAGCGAAATCAGTGGTTAAGAAGAAATATAAAAAATCTACTGCAACAGCTTATTAGAGCAACATATGGAGACACAATCAATAGGTACCAACTTTTTTATTCATGCTCAAGAGCTGTAGGAGTGTTTGTGAATCATTCTAGAAAAATACCGTTTGTAATTTAATTGCAGTGTTCTAATGATTGTACATCTGCAAATGCAAGCTCACTGCTGCTTGACTGCATTTTTTTTCCCTCTGAGATTATAAAAAGACTGTTAAAGATGGAATGAGATGGAAACTTATTTTTTAAAAGATCATTTTAATGTTAAGACATGGAATGAGTCCTATTTACACTTTTTAGAGAAGGTTAATTTACAAGAAAATAGTAAGCTTTTGCATATGTTAAGATATTGAAGACATACTTCTATAAATATCAACCAGTGTTGACATTGTATAAACTTTATTTTATACAGTGACTGTTCACATGATTTATTACTATTTGCACTATTAAACAAATGAGTTAATCAACAGGGCATAAAATTGAAGCCCTACAACCTACCAGACTGGATTATAGTTATTCTTTGTGCATCAGAACTAATTTCAGCAAGACCCTTTTTCAGTTGGAAAATGCCAACTTGTCAAAGATCACACTTTTCATGGGAAAGAGGTGATTTTGATAAAACTTGACACACAATGTGGAAAAATAAATAACTGCCTATTTCATTTTGATACTAGAATTTTTCATTTGAAAGTTTTCTCGCTTGAAACGGCTGTTCATTTAATAATTAAATGGTTGATGTCATAAAAGATTAGAAATTACAGAAACAAAATATTTTGACTAAACTGAAAATATTTTTGATTTTCCATTCACGAGAGTAGGAGATTTTGACTTAATCTGACTTGAGAGAGAGAAATGTTTTGATATGTCTAATTTTTGTGTGATGGCAAAACTGTTTCTCTGTGAGAGCTAATCAATAATGATACAGGAATTTACTGTGTTGGTTTTCGTATTTCAGCATTTTCAAGACCATCAAGACTTTTGTTTTATAATTATGTTAAAGCATACTCAAACTGTTATAGATCTTTCTAAAGTGACTGTGGTTTTTAAAACAAATGCAGTACTGTTTAATCCATGTTCTACCACACGAATAATTTCAGAGTGGGGAGGGCGGGGGGCGGGAATAGCACTGTTCTAATCCTCTATTTCCCCAAGCCACTCAGGACACTATTACATAATTCCATGGGTTCATCCACCAGGAAGCAGCAGACAAAGCAAATTATGTATCCTGTATTAGAAATAACTTAAGTTATCCTCATCAGCCTAGAAGCAAGGAAACTATAGCAATCTCTAGACATTTTTTGTGTGTTTGAAGGTAGCAGGACTTGGCGAGTGATGGTTTCTCTGCATATGGGTTATGTCGCTGGGCCATGGGCCCCTGCATAAGCAACTCAGACAGATTCTACATTGAGCTGGCCACTATGAAATTGGAGAGAGGGGAAATCAGAGAGGAAGTCTGGCATTTCATAACCACCAAAAGCAAGGGTCAGTGTGGCATAAAAGCTGCAGAAAAGGGAGTGTGGCAGGCAGTGGCCACAAGAGAGAAGAGGATCAGGAGGAACTTCACACAGCAAGAATCAATTGCAACCTTTTAGCTGTACAGAATTCTTCCTGTTAGTCTTTAAAGTACTACATTGTCCTGCATTTTGCTTCAGAATTCTTCCTGACACTCTTTTCTCTGGTAGCCACAGCCTGCCATCCTCATCTGTTCCCAGCTGTGTAGCATGCCACCTTGACCTCTTTGTCTCTGGTGGTTATGAACTGCTAGACTTCCTCTCTGATTTCTCCTCTCCAGTTCCATAGTGGCCAGGTCATTGTAGAAACTATTCCAAAATCCAGATAATTCAAGGAAATGGAGAGAGAGAGAGAGATGGAATGTGTGGATGAAAATCTGTAAGAAAATCATCTTGCCCACAGAGCTCTCCAAACATGTAAAGAAAAAATGATTATCCTTGTTTAGAATATTTGGAAGCACATTCTGCAAGGTAGAGGTGGACAATAGGATGATGTGCTGCATTCCCACAGCCAACGCAATAGATATTGTTGTACAATTGGATAGACTTGTGATGGGGTGTACCAACCCCACATTAGCTCTGCAGGGATTAAGCAGGCCTACCTGGCTAAAAGAGCCCCTCTCCCACATCCCTACTGAGCATTCTCCAACAGGAGGACCAGTATAAAGGCCAGTGAAGCAGCTCAGTCAGGGCTGACCACCATAGGGGAAGGAGCTCCTGCCAGAGCTCAGGAGGTGGAGGATCAGCAGATGGACAGGGGAGCAGAGAGCAGACAGCAGGGACTATCTGGGGAATTGACCAGCCCGGAGGACGCAGGTGGGGAAGATGTCAGTAATTGGGTAGGAAGTAGCCCAGGATGAGGAGCTGGAGCACCCCATGAGCTCAACATGTTTTGGGCAGATTCCTCACTAAACCAATGGTGGAACATGCCCACCACTGACAGGGCCCTGGGCTGGGACCTGATGGAGAGGGAGGGCCCAGGTTTCCCTACCCCCCCCCCTCCCATTGCCTGCCTTGGTTGCTCTAGCCTCATGAGGGACGGTGGAGGGATAGAGAGGACTGAGGTTCAGGGTTTCCCATCAGATGGATTTACTCTTCTGAGGTTCTGGGATTATTTGATTTTGTAGAACCCCCACAGGCTCCGGGGTGGGGAAAAAATGAGAGGTTCAGTGTGTAGGACAGGGCTGCCAGTGAGTGGGATAGGGATGGGGGTGCAGGATTTGGGCAGAAGGTGGGGTGCAAGAGGGGATAAGGGTGCGAGGTTTGGGTGAGTGGTAGGGTGGCAGGAGCAGGCTGGGAGGAGGGTGTCTGGCCAGAGGGAAAGGGGCAAGAGCAAGGGAAGGAAAGGTGCATTGTGTAGCCAGGAGAGAGGGTGCAGCAGGTTTGGGTGAGTGGTAGGGTGGCAGGAGCAGGCTGGGAGGAGGGTGTCTGGCCAGAGGGAAAGGGGCAAGAGCAAGGGAAGGAAAGGTGCATTGTGTAGCCAGGAGAGAGGGTGCAGCAGCAAGGGAGGGTTCAGGAGCAGGGTGGGGGTAGGGTATCTAGTCAGGAGGAAGTGTGTAGGAGTGGATTGGGGGAAGGGTGTCTGACCTGGGGGAAGGTTGCAGGAGCAAGAGAGGTTACAGGAGCAGAGTGGGGATAGGGTGTCTTGCCTGGGGGAGGGTGCAGAAGTGGGCTTATGGGGCAGGGTCTGGGCGTGGGAGGATAGGTGGCACTTACTTAGTTCTGCACTCCACACTCCCTAGCACTGTGTCCCAGGCATGGCCTCCTGCTCCTTTCATTGGCCAGAACTCCAGCCAATGGGAACAGTGGGGAAAGCCTCTAGGCAACGCATCTGTACACTCCTATTTCCCCAGCTGGGGGATGGGCAGGGGAGCAGAGCCAGCAGCATGCTTCTTCGCTGCAAGGAAGATCTGGTAGGGAGGTTCGCCCCTCCCTCCAGTAGGGTTGCCAGGTGTCCAGTATTTGCTCGGACAGTCTGGTATTTTTGCCTCCAAAATGTCCTGTATTTTCTGATTTCCCCTCCCTCCCTATCTGTACACTCCTATTTCCCCAGCTGGGGGATGGGCAGGGGAGCAGAGCCAGCAGCATGCTTCTTCGCTGCAAGGAAGATCTGGTAGGGAGGTTCGCCCCTCCCTCCAGTAGGGTTGCCAGGTGTCCAGTATTTGCTCGGACAGTCTGGTATTTTTGCCTCCAAAATGTCCTGTATTTTCTGATTTCCCCTCCCTCCCTCTCCTCCCCCCC